GGTCTTGACCGGTTGTAACCAGTTTGGACCAGACTGGTCCAAAGACCGAAAAAGACCGCAGTCTTGCAAAAGACCAGTCCTGGTCCGGTATTTTGAGGTTTTAGGAATTGTGTGGACCGGTCTGGGTCTGGGTCTTTTCGTTTTGGGCCAAAAAACCAGACTGGACTGGACTTTCAAGCACTAGATGGATGAGCCCTTTCACATGAAGTAGTAAGCCTGCCACGAAGTGCGCGAGCAGCAGCTACCCTCCATGCTAAGGTTCCTCCTGTGATGAGCTGGCACATTCCCACAACTCTCCAGCTCTCCCTCTACCAAGAGATGCAGACTTCAACCATGCTTTGGTGAAGTCCGCGGTGCCCCCACCATTGTGAAGCGTTCACTCTGAACTTCTTGCATAGCTGAAGCCAAGAGGGAACACTTCAGTCACCCACTGCCAACTGACTATTAGTCATGCAAACTACACATAAGTTACATGACTAAATATCATGGACCATATCTATATTCTAGATATATATGGGTCCTAGAAAGCCCTGAAATCTAAAATATATTCTTGAGACGTGGACCCTGAAATGTCACACAAAAATTATAATGTCTGTGTCACACCACTAAAATATATTTTGCAAGTGAAAAGCAGTAAGGATATATTTTTGGTGAGTGGACCCTGAAATGTCACTGTCACACCTTAGAAATATATTTTTGCCCTGGCTTGGCCTTAGGATATATTTTGGGAGACAGATGTGGTAAGGATATATTTTTTGGGTCTGTAGGGGTGTCAGGGGTCCTAGTTTCACCAAAAAAACTTGTGATTTTTTTGCTGTCTGGGATATATATTCTGGAAGATTCTGCAATGATTTCCAGGGGTTTTGGCAGTATGTAGGTAGCAATAAGGGGCATCAATAGCATCTGTGACCTACCTGAGTAGTTGCTTGCATATTATCCACTTTGACACTATAGATACAGTTTGCACTATGAAATTCTTTAGCTGCCTTGAAACACCCTCTGAGTTGACAAAGTCCTTCGATCTTTCTCTTCTTCTCTTTCCAATTGCACCATATCTGCATACCCCACCCACATCTGTATTACCAGTAAGGTGACAAAGTGCTTTGATCTTTCTCTTCTTCTCTTCCTTTCTTCCCCACCCCCCTCTGTATTACCATCCTTGACAGACAATCTCTCCTTCTCTTCCTGTCATCCTCTCCTCCTCTTCTTCTCTCCTGCCTTCCTCCCCTTTTCTCTTGAGTTTGATTGTAAATTTATGGACAAAAACTTCACCAAGTACTTTGTTGTTTCTCTCCTCCTTTCTTCCACTCCTCCTCTTCTTCCCTCCTGCCTTCCTCCCTCTTTCTCTTGAGTTTGATTGTAAATTTATGGACAAAAACTTCACCAAGTACTTTGTTGTTTCTCTCCTCCTTTCTTCCACTCCTCCTCTTCTTCTCTCCTGCCTTCCTTGCTCTTTCTTTTGAGTTTTGATTGTAAATTTACAAAGAACTCTATTCACAATGTCATAGTATGGAGTTACATATATCTTTTCCTTAAAAAGTCCACTTCAGTCACCCAGTGCCAACTGACTATTAGTCATGCAAACTCCATGTAAGTTACATGACTAAATGTCATGGACCATATCTATATTCTAGATATATATGGGTCCTAGAAAGCCCTGAAATCTAAAATATATTTTTGACACATGGACCCTGAAATGTCACACAAAAATTATAATGTCTGTGTCACACCACCAAAATATATTTTGCAAGTGAAATGCAGTAAGGATATATTTTTGGTGAGTGGACCCTGAAATGTCACTGTCACACCTTAGGAATATATTTTTGCCCTGGCTTTGCCTTAGGATATATTTTGTGAAACAGATGTGGTAAGGATATATTTTTCTGGTCTGTAGGGGTGTCAGGGGTCCTAGTTTCAGCAAAAAACTTGTGATTTTTTCTGCTGTCTGGAGTATATATTCTGGAAGATTCTGCAATGACTTCCAGGGGTTTTGGCACTATGTCTAGCTGTGCTCCCAGTATGTATGTAGCAATAAGGGGCATCAATAGCATCTGTGATATACCTGAGTTGCTTAAGTATCATCCACTTCCAATCACACTATGAATACAGTTCGCATTACAGATTCATTCATTCTCCTTCAACAATTTTGGGCCTCAATGACATGTATGATTCACCTTGAAGCTATTCAGTCCAAGATTCCTGAGTTGCTTAAGTACTATCCACTTTGACACTATAGATACAGTTCACACTATGGAATTTTTTAGCTACTTAGAAATCCCCTCCACTTCTGCCTCTACTTCAGCTCCAAGATCTCCATTTGCACCTTATCTGCATACCCCACCCACATCTGTATTACTATCCCCTGCCAGACAAACTCCTGCATGTGATATCAAACATGTTGTCCAATCCACTTTCAAAAACCAGAGTTCACAAAGTTCTTTGTTTCACTCTCCAATTGCACCTTATCTGCATGCCCCACCTACATCTGTATTAGTCAAACCTCTGCATGTGATATCAAACATCTCTCCCAACCTACTTTCAAAAACCAGAGTTCACAAAGTTCTTTGCTCTTTCTCTTTTTCTCTCTCCAGTTGCACCTGATCTGCATACCTCACCCACATCTGTATTACCATCCCCTGCCAGTCAAACCCCTGCATGTGATATCAAACATCTCTCCCACCCCACTTTCACAGACAAGAGTTCACCAAGT